CAGGCAGAGGCAGCTTACAGCAGCAGGAGGCTGCCGCCCCACGTCCTGGGGCCTGGGAACCCAGCTTTGCGGCGGTGCCGGATGCCGGCAAGGACTTGGGAGAGAAGCCATCCTCATGCCCCCTCCTTCCCACGGGCCTGGCCCGGCCCCCTGGCTGGTGGCTGCAGGTCTCCAGCCCAGCCCCAGACTGCACGCCTCTCCTGAGGTCCAAGGGCCCCTCGTCCTGTCCTCTTTTCACAGACGCGTCAGACCCTGGCTTGTGCCCCAGGCCTGCATGGCTGGGTTGTCAGCCCAGGAAAGGTCCCAGCAGGTAACATGAGTCTGGGGAGATGCCCCTCACCCACCTTGGTCACATTCCGTGCACACCAAGGGGAACTGCCTTCTGCCTGGCTGGTTCTGGTTCTATTGACACCACGTGTGTCATCTGCTCCATGTGTTTATTCCACCCTGGCACAGGTACAAGCAGGGTGCACCCTAGCACAGGGCCAAGCAGTGTCCACCCTGGCACAGAACCAGCCTGCATCCACCCTGGCCCAGGACCAAGCAGCGTCCACCCTGGCACGGGGCCATGTCCACCCTGGCACAGAACCAACCTGCGTCTACTGTGGCACAGAACCAACCAGCATTCACTCTGGCCCAGGACCAACTAGTGTCCACCCTGGCACAGAACCAACCTGCATCTACTCTGGCACAGAGTCAACCAGCATCCACACTAGCACAGGGCCAACCAGCGTCCACCCTAGCACAGGGCCAACTAGCGTTTACCCTGGCACAGGACCAACTAGTGTCCACCCTGGCACAGGGCCGATGTCCACCTGCACAGGATGCTAGGAGCCTATTTTCCCAGCATGGGGGGCCTGGGTCCATGCAGCGTGGCGTGGACAGCACGTTTCCTCTTGGATTTGTCACTTTTGCTTGTGCGTGACCTTCGGTGGCGGCCACGGCCGTGCTCACGGCTTCCCTGGTGTGAGTGTGGTCGCGGAATGTCCCTCTCAACAAGCTTCCCTGACCCTTCTTCTGCCAGTGCCGGCGGGAGCTGCAGAGGCGCCTCCGCCCAGGGTCCTGGCTCAGCGCCCCCGGCTGCTCACCGTCTCCATCAGCACTTTGACCGTGTGGGCAGCAGCGGTGCTGGGTGGACGCGGCGGCACTCTCCTGCCCCGGCCCAGGGCCCGCTGGTCAGAGGGGCAGGCTTCAGCGTGACCACGCCAGGGGCGGGCGCACCCACTGTCCAGCACGAGGAGGCCGGCGGGGTGAGCAGAGGGAGGCGAGGGCCCCACGCCCGCTGTCCTGTCCCCGAGGGACACGGAGTTCTTCTACGCTGTTCCTGCTTCCCTTCTGGGGGCCCCTCCGCTGTCCCTGGGGGTGACGGCCTCCTGCGCCCTGTTAGGCTGAGGGGAGGTGGGGAGATGGCCACAGGCCTGCGGGGCCGGGTGGGTGTCCCTGCGCGGAGCCGGAGCCAAGTCTCCCCTAATTGGCCACCGGAGGCCGAGTCCCGAGCGCGGGAGGAGACGCTCCCCGGCGCAGTGACCCACTCAGTCGGCGCCGCGCCGGCAGGGAGGACAGCCAGCGGCCGCGGTCCGCTCCCCCACGCCAGGCTCCCGCAGCAGGACCGGGCGGCCCATCCCAGGAACCAGGGGCCGCCCCCGCCCCCGCCCCTCGCCCACGGGAGCCCCCGGGCCCTGCACCCTCAGCAGAGCGGGGAGCGGCGCCTGAGGCGGGCAGGGCCTCAGCGGGGAGGTGAGGCCGGGGTCTGGGAGCGCGAGGGGGCGGGGTGGGTCGCAGGCTCACCTGGGCATGTGGGTGGCCGTTCTGTCCTTCTATCCAGCCTCCTGCCTTGTTGCCCTTTGTGCCATGCACCCCTGCTCCACTACCACACTTGACTCCTGGTACGCAGCAGGGTGAGAGAACACCGCTGCTGCTGCTAGCACCCCCCGCCAAGGCAGCCAGTTCCAGTAACTAAGACATCATAATTAAACAAGTAAAAACTAGTGATAAGGAGAGAATATTGAAATCAAAGAAAAATGAATTACCTATAAGATCATCTGTAATTACTTGATGGAAACCGCGCAACTGGAAGAGAATGCCACGATAAATTTAAATTCCTCCACGGGGAAAAAAAGGATTTTCAACTGAGAATACTTTCTCCTGCTGGAATATCATTTAAAATTGAAGGAGGGATAAAGAGGTCTATAGATAAACAAAAGTAATTCGTTGCCACTAAACTTACCTTGCAGGAAATACTAAAGGGATTCGCAAAATGACAAGGAAGTCTATCTGGAAGCGGTAAAACATCATAAACATACCATGTGGATGGGGAACAAAATAAAATTGTGGGTCATCATAGTGAATTTGAGACCAGTCCATCCAACAGTTCACAAGTATAGAATGATAGGCATAAACCTCAGGGGAAGCTCAAAACAAAAATTAAAAGAAAGGCACAGAAAACTGGAAAAGGAATCCAAACATAACGCAAAGGCAGAGGCCAAAGCACAAGAGAAGAGGATAAGAGAAGAACAAAACAACAAAAACAAACTAAACACCAAAAAAATAAAAATGGCAATACTTATATTTTAGCAATTACTGTAAATGTGCACAGTGCGAGCTCACCAGTTAAATGGTATACAGTAGCTGAATGTTTCAGGAAAAAAATCTAATTTTTGTTGTCTACAGGAAGCTCATCTTAGCTTTCAAGACAAACAGACTTAAAATAGGATGTTGGAAGACAATCCTGCAAGCAAATGGTAATTTTTCAAAAAGGCAGGCACAGCTATACTTATAGCAGATAAAATAGATTCCAGTTAAAAAGATGAGAGACAGGGAGGGACATTGCATTGTGAGCAGGGTTTCATTCAACAAGAGGATGTAACATAGATAGACGCGCGCCAAATGATGGAGCAGCAAAACACATAACGCAATTACCGAGGGAGATAGAGTGACATTAACCACGATACCATAATAGTAGGGGACTTTAACACCCCGCTCATAACTACAGACAGATCAGGGCCTCCCCGGTGGCGCAGCGGTAGAGCACTGGCTTGCGAAGCTGCCCGCAGCCTCTGCAGCCCGGTTCGATCCCCGGCCGCCGGGCGAGGGTCCCCCATGGCGCGCAGACCTCTCCTGCCGCCCGCTGCTCCCCTCAGCAGTGTACCTCGTCAGTCTGCCTGTTCTGTTCCCCGCTCTGGCTCTGGTGAATCCTCTCACCCCCCGCACCTCTGGCCTGTACCCCAGCTCTTACATAAATAAATAAATCTTAAAAAAAAAAAAAGCAGCTGCTTTAAAAAAGTTCTTTTGTTCAGCCTCAGCTGGGATCACTTTCCGTTCTCGTCAATATAATAACAAAATGATGGTGAACAGAAGTCAGTCAAGGACCTGCTGTGTTCCTGCCCCACAGGAGCCCCAGTCACCTCCTCCACCGTCATCCTCACGGCCCGGCCTCCTCTTCAGTCATCCTCCTGTGCGCCTTGATGTCATGATTCTCTGACTAATTGTAATACTATTGATTGATTTCCTTTTTAGAAGTAAAACAGGACAGTTATCAGGAATGCTTCTGCTCATCCTCGCTCCTCAGCCATCGAGACTGTTGTGCTGCTCTGCAGATTGTCACGGGACTCGAGGAGGTGAAGGGGACACAATTTTCTTAAATCATGACTAAAAACTTTCAGTAATGCCAGAGACTTCATCTTCAAACATCACAGAGAACACGAATTTCCAATCTGCCCCCTGAGAGAGGACAGTGCTGGTCATTCCCATGTGTTTTGAGCCATAACATTCTGTGCGGGCAAGAACCTGAACAAATGTGACAGTCGGGACGAGCTCACTGGCCACGCAAGCAGCACGCACAGGTCCGAGCAATAACCAGAATTCAGGGCCTCCCCGGTGGTGCAGAGGTTGAGCGCTGGGTTGCGAAGCTGTCTGCAGCCTCCGCGGCGCAGGTTCGATCCCCGGTTGCTCCCCGGCCACCGGAGGAGGGTCCCACATGGCGCGCAGACCCCTCCAGCCACCCGCTGCCCCCTCAGCAGTGTCCTTCGGTCCTTCTGCCTGCTCTGTTCCCCGCTGTGGCTCTGGTGAATTCTCTCACTCTCCCGTGCTTCTGACTGTACCCAGTGTATGTATAAACAAAGCAAACAAACAAATAAATAAAAACATGCCTCTATAAAAAAAAAAAAAAAAAAAAAAAAACCAGAATTCACTCTGGACAGGTGGGTTGTGAGCAGAACATTCTGACCTGCTGTTAGCGTACAGGTGGGCTGAGTCTCTGAGTCTGGGTAGGAGGGGCTGCCCTCTTTCCAAGGCCCAGATTTCCCGTGACGTTGCTCTTCTCCCAACAATGTGTAGGGGAGGGTCAGGATGGAGGAGGGGACCAGGGAGTCACACCTGCTGTCCCGGGGAGCGCTCTCCCGGGAGGCCACTTGGTCCCTTTCTGTTCTCTGTTTCTCTCGTGATTGGCCCCCAGTGGGTCATGAGGGACTTCAGAGCCTCTGACACCCCCGGCGTTGGGCACGTGTGAAGACTGGCCACAGGGCTCTGGGCTCAGGAAGTTGGGAGTCCCCTGGCACTGCCGGAGCCTGAGTTTCACCTAATTGGCCATTAGGGGCCTGGAGTCCCACTTGTGCCGGGGTGGAAGACCTCAGCAGCAGAGTGCCCCGAGAGCAGACACCTCCATGCTCCTGACAAAGGGGACAAGACAGGGGAGCAGCAGCGGAGCCCACGCCCTCCCTTGCTTCCACCGAGACCCAGGAGCCCCCGAAGCCAGGGCCCGGCGCCTGCAGTCAGGCGCACGGTGGGACCCCAGGTGTCTCCCAGGCCTGTGCCCACTCTGGCTTAGTGCCCGGGAGGTGGGTGCGGGCACAGCATCCTCAGGCTCTAAAGCGGAGTCAAGACAGCCGTCGCCCTAGGAGAGCGGCCCGGCTGTGTGCTCTTGGGTGAGTCATGATCCCCGTGGCCAAGGCCGCCTCCGGGCAGGGCTGGGGGTTGAGGGAGAGCCAGCGGGTGTGAGGCGCATGGCCAGCCGGTGCCGGGGCTCGATCTCAGCAGACGACGTGGTGGCCGCACGCTTACCTGCGAGGCCGGACCTCTGCCAGTGTGAGGTGGCTCTGGCAGTGAGCCACGCTGGGCGCCCACGTCAGCCTGGCCAGGGGGGGTCCCTGGTCCACTCCCAGCTCGCCAGGGAGGAACCCCCACAGCTCAGGTGCAGGCGCAGGCGCAGGAGAAGCTGTCTGACATTTCTAACACGCAGGAGGGGGTGAGACGGTCTTAAGGAGCAGACGAGACCCCAGCAAGTTGTGGACACGCCATACACCAGGGTCCCCTGCAAAGGGGAGACACTTCCTGTGGCAGAAGGGCAGGGCCTGCTCTCCATGTCGGGCTCACACCCCTGCAGCGCGGCTGTCCTCCCCCTACAGCCAGGCTCGGAGCAGCCCTGGGGGGTTCACACGGGCGCGTCGCCTTCCAGGTCGCTCTGAGCATCTGCAAAGAGAACGTGACGGCCGGTGGCCTTGTGCCCATGGACAGCAAGGCCCCTGTGCTCCAGGGAGGGGTGAACCTGAGACCTGCCTGACCCTCCTGCTGCCCCCACGCCCGGCCCCGCTGCCCGGCTGGCCATGCCTCCCCCCAGATGGGGCAACCTGTCGGACACCGCCCTGCAGGGGTTCGTGCTGCTGGGGTTTGAGGGCGGCGAGCAGACGCAGGCCCTGCTCTTCGCCCTGTTCCTGGGCCTGTACGTGGTGACCGTGCTGGGCAACCTCACCATGATCGTGGTCATCACCCTGGACGCCCGCCTGCACTCCCCGATGTACTTCTTCCTCAAGAACCTGTCCCTCGTGGACCTGTGCTACTCGTCCGTCATCGCCCCCAACGCCCTGGCCAACTTCTTCTCCTCCTCCAAGGCCATCTCCTTCCTGGGCTGCGCCACCCAGTTCTTCTTCTTCTCCCTGTTTGGTACCACCGAGGCCTTCCTGCTGGCCATGATGGCCTACGACCGCTTCATGGCCATCTGCAGGCCCCTGCGCTACCCGGTCACCATGCGCCCCTCGGCCTGCGCCCGCTTGGTGCTGGGCAGCTACTGCGGAGGCTGCGTCAACACCCTGGTGCAGACCAGCTTCACCTTCAGCCTCCCGTTCTGCGGCTCCCGCCGCGTCAACCACTTCTTCTGCGACGTGCCCCCGCTGCTGCCGCTGGCCTGCGCCGACACCACCCTCAACCGGCTGGTCATGTTCGGCGTCTGCGGGCTCGTCATCGTGGGCACCTCGCTGGCGGTGCTCGTGTCCTACGGCTACATCGCGGGCACCATCCTGCGCACGCGCGCGGGCTCGGCGCGCCACAAGGTCTTCTCCACCTGCGGCTCCCACCTGACGGCCGTCGGCCTCTTCTACGGCACCGTGTTCGTCATGTACGCGCAGCCCGGCGCCGTGGAGTCCCTGGAGCAGGGCAAGGTGGTCTCGGTCTTCTACACCCTGGTCATCCCCATGCTCAACCCGCTCATCTACAGCCTGCGCAACAGGGACGTGAAGGAGGCCCTGCGGCGGCTGGGCCAGAGGCGCGCGGGGCTGTGAGCCGGGCCGCGGGGGCCGTAGGGACCGCGGGGTGGAGGGGGGACTCAGGGACAGTGGCTAGGAGGGTCCCCAGAAGCCTCTGCACCAGCACGTGCTGAGCAGCCCCTCGTTCCTCCCGGGACCAGAGCACCTGCAGCCAGGTGTGGGCCGGGATGCACTGGGTGTTGAGTGACGGCGAGTAAGAGTCGCCGAGGCCCCGTCAAAGCCGTCAGTCACTGAAAAGCAGGTTCCTGGACGCCGTGGGCAGGAGGGCAGACGCCACCCACCTGTGCATCTTCATAGACCCAGAAGATTAATTCTTTGTGGACTTGCCCTCACGGGGCTGGCCACCCTCAGATGCAAGTCCAGGCTGAGTGGCCAGTGACAGGGCCCTGGCCCCATGGCCCCTTCTCAGCATCTTCCCCTCTGTGACCAAAGAGCTCGAGCCGAAGTGGACACTCAAACACAGGCGTGCCCCAGGCACAGACCATGGGGAGCGACACAGGGATGGTTTTTATGTATTTGTGGAAAAAACTTCGAATCACACCTGTCCTCAGCTATCACCATCGCCCAGGTCACGAGAAAGCAGCTGACCCATGTGGAGACACTCCTTGGCCTGCTGGCCCAGGCGCAGCTGCCACGGCCCTGAGCGCCACCTGCCCTCCTGCAGACGACACCCAGGGCCTTCTCTGAGGTGGCCTGTGTGCCTACGTCCCCTCCGCGCCCGCCCGTGAGGGTGGTTTTGTCTGTCGTGACTACATGCACGTCCAATAAGGCCAAAGCCGTCACTCATGTTCTGCTACGAATGAATTCCTGCCGGGCCCCTGAGGAGCGGAATTGTTCCCCCGTTTTCATTACTCTGGAGTTTCCCCCAGAAGTCTGGCCCCAGGGCAGTACCCAGACCCTGGCTCACACCCCAGCGGGGCTCCCCCTCTGGCCAAGCTCCAGCTTCCTGGTGTCCCCCCGCCTGCCCAGTGCCCCCGGGCTCGGCTGTGCCTGCAGCCTCGGGGGTTCACCCGATGTTCTCTTTCCTATTGATTCTAGCAACCCCCCGGGCGTCTTGATATAACTTCTTTGTCGAGTTTCTGATTCGCCAATATCGTCCCCACTTTGTGCCTCCACATTTGCATCTCTATTGACTTTTGTAAACTTTTGGCTACAGAAGTCCCGCAAGGTCCTCAGGAAGGCCGCGTCCGTCATCGCCCGGGTGGGGACTGTCCTGTGCCTGAAGGAGCCACTGCCCCGCCGACTCCTGAGACTCGCCTTCCGAGGGCTCCAGCTGGACCTTTCAGCAGCGGCCCTGACCCACCTGGAGCGAGTCTGTGGCTTCTGGACGGGCCGGCTCTTTGCGTTTTGTGACCTGACCGGCCACTTACTTCTCCAAGTCCCCACCGCTGTGTCACCCTCATGGCAGCCGTCCGCGCACAAGCCTGCCTCCGCCTCCCCGCCCCGCCATGTCTGCTCCGCGCCCCAGTGTGTGGCTGAACTTTGGCAGAGTCAAGGTGGCAACACAAATACGGCACATGGGAGCAAACGTAACTCTCCACGCACATGCTCTAGAAACAGTTTCCATGTTACGGAGACACAAAGGGGCGCTGGGTAAGTGGAGGCGCCATCGGGTCCCCTGCACAAAGTGTCACGTGGTGAGGCTCACGGCCCTGGGTGGCCGCACCATCCTGCCAGGCCGGTGGGTGCAGTGCGTGGCTGTTTTCTCCCCAGACAGCGGCCGTGAGATTCAGGAGACTCGGGAGGTGGAGCCAGAAGGGGCGCGTCTTTCCTAGCTGGGCCACCCCCCGTTTAGGTGAACAGCCCCTAGACTGAGGCCTGGCCGCCTCGGGCCCTCGATGCCTCGCCTGCCCCACACCTCTCCCTGCTGACCAGGGGGCCCCCGGGCCCGGAAGCGCCCCCGCACTGCCCTGTGGCCGCGCCGGCTGAGGGAGGGCTCCGGCTGAGCGGACTGCGAGGCCCGGGGGGGGTGTCCACCTTGGCGCTCCGGTGCCTCCCGCCCCTGAAGCCTGAAGCCGCGGTCTCTCTTCACCGCTGGCCTGTGCTCGCCGGGCCCGTGCGTGCGCTCTCCCGCTGCTGCAGCAGCGCACAGTGGGGTCACGGGACGCAGCCTGCTCCTTTCACTCAGCTGCACGCACTGCGGTTCCCCATGATTCCTCACGGCCCGCCGGGTCACTCTCAGCCCGACGCGCGTGCGTGTGTCACCCGTCGGCTACTGAGCGCCACGCTGGCTGCGCCGGGGTGCTGGCCAGTGTGCAGGGCGCCCCCGCGAGCCACGCGGGCAGGCCTGGTGTGCGTGGACGCAAGTTCTCGACACCGGTGGGCGAGCGCGGGAGCGGGAGCCCCCAGCTGTGTGTTCAGAGCACGTCAGGCTTTGAGAGAGCGCCCAGCCGTCCTCTCCGCAGGCCACCCTGCACCCCGCCTCCCCCGCACCAAGGGAGACCCCGCTGCCCTGGCCCTCAGCCGCACCCTGCTCTGGACCCGCCCCCGCGGCCCGCGGTGCGCTCTGGTCGGGACTGGCGGCCTGGTGGCAGGTGCCTCTTCCGCTAGGGTGTCTGTCTTCTTGGCGAGGTGTGGGGTCTTCAGCCCCGTTTTTTAAAAAAGGATTTATTTATGCTACAAGAACTGGGGTGCAGGCCAGAGAGGCAGGGGGTAAGAGGATCCACCAGAGACAGCAGGCCGCAGAACAGGCGGATCCACGGAAATCCACTGCTGAGGGGAGCGGCGGGAGACGGGAGAGGCCTGCGGCACCATGTGGGTAGCCCCCTGGCTGCCCGGGGGGTTGGAACTTGTGCTGCAGGGGCTGCGGACAGCTTCACAGCGCGGCGCTGAATCCCTGCGCCCCCAGGGAGGCCCTCTTCGGCCGGTTTTTAACTGAGTGTGTTTTCTCACAGTTGAGTCTGAAGAACAGCAGCACCCCAAGACCCTGCCGTGTCCACGTGAGAATAGCCACAGGTTGGCGAGAGGGCGAGGGTCCAGGCGGAGACCCCTGCCCTTGAGGAACAGACTCGGGGTCGCCACAAAGTGGCCACAAGGAGAGCAGCGTGTGGACATGGGGACGGCAGACTGACCTGGCACCGCCCGCCCTGGCTGTGCCCCCATGTCAGTGTCAAGCGGCCGCAGGCTGGGGGAGATCTCCAGAACCTCAGGCAGCCACCGGCCCCAAAAGCTAACCGAGAAGCAGGGGGCACCAGCCAGCCTCACAATTCAGACCCTCTGCTCCGGCTGAGACCCTTGAGATGCCAGGCGAGGTGCAGGCTGGGGCACCGGGCAGGAGCGCCCCGCGCTCAGTAACACGGGCGGCTCCCCTGCCCCCGCAAACGGGTCGCGTGTCCTAGAGTCCGCCGAGGGAGCCCCCATGGGCGGCAGATGTTGCAGTGACCCCAGCTCACGCCTCACGGTGGCGGAACCTGCACTCGCCAAGACGAGGCCTCCAGGCGCCGGGCCGTGGCCTGACGCTGCCAGGGGACAGACACCACAAAAAGCCTGGTTTTCTGCCTCATGGGTAAACCCAGAGCTGCATCTGCTCCCCTTTGGGGCAGTGGTGACAGCAAAGCCATGACCTCATCCCATGTCCCTTGGTCCCTCCCCCCGGACAAGCTCGGCCTAGACAGGCCACTGGCACGTGGCTGGCTGGAGCACTGCGGAGGGGGAGCCCCACTGCGCCCCAAGGGCCAACAGACAGGCGGCAGCTGGGCGAGCCAGCTGGATCCCAGGGGCACAGCGCCCGGCCCTGGGGACCGTGAGGCGGAGCCAGGCCTGGCCTCCGGGGCAAGGGGGTGCTGGCCACCTTTGCGGCGGCTTCCGGGCACCTGCCCCAGGAGGGTTCCCCAACCCAGGGGTCCAGGCTACGCTGGGGCAGCAAGGCACAGGAAGCTCCGGGCACAGGACAGGCAAGTTCCAGCTGGACGCATTCAGGGCTCGAGTGTCCCGGGGAAGGAGAAACAGTAACCAGGCCCAGGTGCGGCCAGTTACCGAGGAGGGAAGCGCAGCCAGAGCGATGGGGCCCGGCGGGGGGCAGAGGTGGGAGGGCGCCATGCAGGGGGGTCTGCAGCAGGCACCCCGCGCAATCTGTGACCTGTACTGAGTTAATGTTCCAGCCCCACAGTGGGGATGCCCCTCCAGATGCCCACAGAGGAGAGCTGCGGGGAGACTGGCCGAGAAGCAGGCATGACCGACAGCCAGGCCGGAGCCTCCAGGAGGTTTGTAGATGCACCCGCAGGGGCATCTACCCTGACCTGGCCCCCCGGGGGCTGGGCCAGGCCCGGCATGGCCACGGAACTGCTGAGGCCAGACACCTTCCGGGACCCCCCCCCAGGCCCCCAGGGACCACACGGCCGGCGGTCAGCACAGACCCGGGGGGGTCCCCACTGAACCCTGACAGGGCTGTGGGGCCTGCGGTCTTCCCTGGCACTTTCTCTGACCTTGATCTTCACGTCCAAGCAGCCACGGAGCAGCAGGAAGCCGAGTCCCCCTCAGCAGCCGCCCTCCTAAGGCCCCCAAGCGTCTCACACAGCAGGAGTCCCAGGTGCGGACCTGGAGCTGGGTTTGGGGCCAGCCTGGCGCTGAGGGCCTGGAGAGGCCTGCTCTGCTGGCCAGCCCAGCTCTGCGCCCAGCCCTCCACGCAGCTGCCCGGCGCCAGCTCACTAGGAGGCCAAAGAACACCAGTGATGACGCAGCTTTAATTGAAGGGGGGACACAGCTAGTCACATCCAGGCCACAAGCGGCCCAGGCCCGGCCGCCCGCCCCGTCAGCGTGGCCCGGCTCCTGGGGGCACCCGTCTCGTCCTGCGAAGCGCCCCTCTGGGCATCCCACCACACCGCTGGGCCTCACTGCACGTCGTCGTCATCGAAGAGGTCCTCGAAGTCTGCAGGAGACAAGCGTCAGCAGGACGGAGGCGTCACGGCAGAGCTGAGGGCCCCAGACACCGGGAAGCTCAGCTAATGCCCCGACCAGAGGGCCACAGCCCTTCCCGACAAACTGCCCGGAAGGGGACGCCGGAGGCTCAGCCCCACCCCCCACACCCTCCCCCCTAGTGTGAGGAGACCCAGTGAGGGGAGGGGGGCTTCCTGGTCAGCGCCCTGTGGCCCGCCTTGAAGAACCCAGCTCCGAACACAGAGGCCCTGTCCTGACAGCAGCGGCAACACGCCCCAAACTGCTCGCGCCACCCAAGGCTCTTGGTGGTTTGGCCCAGCCTCGCAGAGGGGCCACTTCAAACACTGGCCACATCTCAACCCACAGCCGCAGGGTGACCTCAGCGCTGTCTGGCACCGGATTGGGAGGGAGGCGAGTCCCCACGCCCCGCCCCACCCTGCGGTGCAGCCAGAAACCCAGCGTGGCTCTCCAGGCTCCACCACGCCCCACCAGAGACCCAGAGGCCCAGTGGTGGACGCTAAGGGCAGCCCTGGAGCTGACGTGGGGGGACTGTGTGAGCAGCGACAGCCCCGGGGCAAGAGCAGGGGGGGAGAAGGGGTCACTCAGCCCTCTGAGGAAGCGCCCTGTCCATTCTGCACGGGTGACTGGGGCTGGAGAACCTGGGCCCAGGCCCTGGGAGATCAGGAGAGACGCCCCTCCAGGCACCCCGCAGGCTCCTCGGGAAAACGGAGGCCAGGCTGGCACCCACCCGCTCCTGGGGCCAGCACCCGGGGGTGGGGTGGGGGTGTTATGAGGTGGGAGGGCTGGAGGAGGCGGGGCTCACCGTTGAAGAAGTCGGCGTGCACGGCCTTCTCGTTGGCCGCCAGGTCCATCAGGAGCCCCGTGCTGCCCCCCGCCTGCGAAGAGAGGGGCTGTCAGCGCGCGTGGGGGATGTCTTTCGGGGTCACGCCGCAGCCCGAGGAGGGAGGCAGCGGCCCAGCCCTGTCTGGGTGCCCCCGCCTTCAAATAGGCCGCGCCCCCGCCCGGGCACCTGCGGGCCGCAGCCCGAGGCCCCGAGGCCCCGCTCGCTCCCTGGCAACCAAACCTGCCCCCCCGAAAACGGACCTGCCCGCCTGAGGCCCGGGGGCCCTGCGGCCACGAGCTCGGCCCGGGCCGCCCCCCTTCCCGGCCGGGGCCGCGCTGCGGGGACCGCCGTGCACCCGCCCCGCGCCCGAGCCCCGGCGCCCGAGCCCCGGCGCCCCACCTCGTCCAGGTCCACGTAGGGCCCCGCGCCCTCCGGGAACATCTCGTCCACCGCCGGCTTCATCTCCGGCTGCGCGCGGCCGCTCGCGCCACTTCCGGCGCGACAGCCCCTCTTCCGGCGCGCGCCGGCAGGTCTAGGCGCGGGAGGCGGCGACTCGTTGGTTTTGTTTTGGTTTTGTTTTTTGTTTTTTTAACCCCTCCCACGCGCTCCTCTCCCCCCCCGCCCCGCCCTGGCCGGTCTAGGCGCCGGAGGACCATCGCCTCTGTGGTTTCCCCCACCCCACCCCCGCTCCGGCCGAGCTGGACGCCCGAGGACAGTCACCTCTGTGTCCCCTCCGTCTGGCCGATCCGGACTCGGGGCCGCCGCCGCCGGCCCCTCCCCCGTGGGCCCGGCTCGGGGCCCGCCTGTGGCGGCGGGGCGGAGGCAGCAGCGCCGGCCTGGACGCGCCAAGCCCCGACCTGGCGGCGGGCGGGCGCTGGGCTCCCCGACGCCGGACGGGGCTCGGGTCTGGGCCCGGGAAGCTCAGGCCCCGCGGTGTGGGGATCGGGGCCCCTGAGCCTTTAGCTGCGGTTCTCAGACTGGCCGCCCCGGGGAGGGCGCGGCTGCAGGGACCCCGAGCCGGGGGGCGCCCCGAGGCCACCCCCTGCGCGCGCCCCTCCCGGGTCTCGGCCCACCCCGTGGCCCCTGCCCGGGGCCGTCCCCTGTCTCCCCCCTCCCGTGTCCCCTGCCCCCCCAGGTTCCCTGCCTGCCCCCTGTGTCTCCCCGTGCCCCGTGTCCCCAGGGAAGGGTCACAAGCCCCCCATTGCGATGACCACAGCGAATCTCTCTGGAGTCACCTCGACCCTCCCGCCTGCCGGGGCCCCCTTGGCGGTCCGGGGCCCATCATGCTCACGTCTCCAGCCCCCGCTGCGCTGTGCCCGCTCCAGGGCCACGGCCGGCTTCACAGGGCACCTGCCGGTTCAGCCTCTCCTGCCAGACGGGTGACCCTCCCACGCAGCGTCCCTGCTGCCCGCCAGTCCTGGCTCTCCCCCGGGGGTCCCCAGCCTGCAGCACTGGCTCTCTCCTCTGGAACCTTCCCCAGCCCACCCAGTGCACTCGGGCCCGGCCCTCCCTGCGCCAGCGGCCCCCTGGTGTTGGGTGGGCAGGTGGCCCTGGCTGGGCTCCAGCTCAGTGACCACAGAGGGTCTGGCTGCTCAGGGACCAAGGCAGGGCCTGGGTAGGCCTCTGCCTCAGTTTCCCCACCTACATCCTGGGGCCCCATGTGCCTCCTGGGGTGGTCGTGAGGGTTAGCAGAGAGGCCGGTACGGGGAGACCAGGTCCCCACACACTGCGGACGCCAAGTGGGATGGGCCTCCTGGAGGAGGAGGTGGTCTCGGGAGCCTCCGACTTGCCCCATGGGGGGGTCGGGGTCCCACGTGCCACACGCCGTGCGTCTTAGGTGGGGTTTATTGAGGGAGGAGTGGCCAACGGCCCCCCACCAATGGTGGGCCTCGCCTAGCTGCGGCTGGCAAACCCCAGGTGGGCCTCGCTCCTCCTGCAAGGGCACCTGGAAGCCCAGGGTGGCCCCCAGGGGGACATGGGCGAAGAAGGTGTGGGCCAGGTCCTCCAGCTGCGGGTGGGCACCCAGGGCCTGAAAGTGCTGCATGTAGCCCCAGAAGTCCGAGGCGGAGAAGGGCCAGTAGGGCATGGCTGGCGGCTCTGCGTGGGGGTCTGCAAGGCACAGCCAGGACTGGCCCCTGCTGCCCGGTATGGGGTGGGCCCGGAAGGAGCCCTGGGCGAGTTTGGACAAAGGGTGTGGCTGTCGAGGGATCGGTCACGCCTGGCATGACCCCAGGAGGCTGGAGGGCGGGCCCGGGGAAGAGGCGCTGGTCCCGCTGCCCTGTCAGGTGAGGGGCTGGCCCCCCGGCGCCCGGGCCCACCCTGCGGGACACAGGTGTTTGTAGAAACGCAGGCACCCCCGCCTCCTGCACCGGCTAGCCCCTGCAATGGGGAGAAGCTGGTCACAGGGAGCCCCCACGTGCAGGACTCCACCCCCAGCTGCAGGAGTCAGGGGGCAGGAGTGGGTGCCGGGGCCCAGCCAGGCCCAGCAGCCCCTCACCCGAGAGAGGACCCAGCGGGAGGCAGAGGGCTAACATGCGCTGCAGGCAGCACTTCATCCTCCCAGGCACGGTCACGGCCACCTGCGCCAGGAGGGGCCGGGGTGAGGCCGCCAGCGCCACCCCAGCTCCTCTGACCCCCACCCGGAGGGGCCCCTGCCGGGCAAACAGCTCTGCCACCAGACACCCCCGTGTGCCCGTCTCCGCGGCCCCAGGCCCGTTCCGAGCCCGCCTGCTTCCCGCTGCCCCTGAGACACCGCAGCAGGGCCGTCCGCCCCGTCCAGTCGCCTTCCCTCGTCCCTCGGCGCAGCCCATGGGCGTCTGCTGCCCGCACGGACGCGCCTCTTTATAGGAGCCCCGGCCCACGGGCCGCCTACCCGCAGGACGTCATGCTGAATAGTCCGCCCGCCGAGCCGGGGCCAGGCTGGCAGCAGAGTTGCTCTGGGGGACCCGATCCAGAGACCAAATCAGGGAAGCGTGTTTGCTCTGGCCGCTGCTGAGACGTTTGGGCCGCGGTCTAAGGGCGGCTCTGGAACAGGCCGGCTTCCCTCTGCAGGACAGCCTGCCGGGTCTGGGCTGCCCAGGAGCAGGGGCACAGGCCACCCCCGCTGGGACAGGCGGCAGGAGGGACCCCCAGAACTGGGCAGCCCCCCCTCAAGTCTAGCTGACCTCACTGGTGACACCAAGGGGCCCTGAGGGCCCTCCCTGGTGCTGCTGCCCAGGAAAAAGGCCAGCGGAGGGGCCCATCCTGTGGGAGACAGGTGAGGGGTGAGTGCCCCAGCCTCTGCCCACACCGTCCCCCGAGACAGCAAAGTCCAGCGAAGCCTCCGAGCCACCCGCCCTGGCCTGTCCTGGGGCCCCAGCCCGCCTCTGCCCTGGCCCCCACCGCCTGCGCTGGCTGCGTCTGGCAGGCAGGGGGCATCTCAGTGCCTCTGGTTCACTGGGCCCCTCGGGCTGGAGGGCACCAGGGGGTCCTGGGAAAGCCTCGGCCTCTGAGAGCTGCCTCAGGGGGTGCTGCGGGGCTCAGGGGCTGCCCCGGCCAGAAGGAGACCCGGGAGCGGAAGGGCCCCGCGTCCCCGTCGCTGTGACCGGGGAGCCAAGAGCCACCAGAGTGAGCTTCATTTCAGAAATGTGGGCGCTGCAGACCTCATGGTCCCGGGGCCGTGGGGCTGAGGACCCTGCAGGCTCGCCCGGGGGCTGGGGGGCGCTGCACGGCCGGACTCGAGGGAAGAACGGGGCCAGGCCCGGGCGCGAGGCCCCACACGCTTCAGCCGGGCCTGGGCTCCAGGCCTGAGGAGCAGTGCGGGGCTGAGGGGGGGCTCGTGGCCCTCTGCTCCGGAAGCTTCCAGACCCCAGAGGAAGCAGCGCCCAGCGGGAGCCTGTCTGGGCGCAGGGGCCGCCAGTGCAGGGCCTCCGAGAGCTGCTGGCCCGGCCCCCACCGCGCGACTCTGGGGTGGGGCTGGCCTGGCCTGGGGGGGCTCTCCGCCTGCCTCTGGGCCCCCCGGCACCAGCCTGCCCCCATCCTGCCGCCTGGACCCTCCTCGGCAGGACCCGCGCCCCTTCCTGGGACTGTCCCATTAGCCAGAGAACCAGCCCCGCCCCAGGCCGTCCGCTCCCACGCCCTGCCCGCGGCTGCCCGGCCTGCGGCTCACCCCTCGGCGCTGCCAGCGCAGCCCGCCCGAGCCCCTCACCCGCGGGCACACGCAGAGCAGCCCTGCAGGGCCCGGCCGCGCCTTGCCCACCGGTGGCCACACCTCCCCGGGGCTAGGTCTGCCGTCCGGGGCGGAGCCGGCCTCCCAGACGCGGGCCGGGGTCCTGCCCCGGGGCCATGCTCTCCCCCTCGCCGAGGGCCCGACCCGGGCGGATGCCGAGTGGCCCGGAGGACGCGGCAGGACTCCGGCCCCGGCCCCGGGGCTCAGGGACGGCGGGGGCTCTGCCCCCTCGCGTGGCCGGCGTCGGGGCCAAGCCCAGAGCCCCGGTGTGAAGCCGCGGCTTCCTCTGGCTGCTCTCGGGCCGCCGCCGAGCCGTGCGCTGTGGGCCCCGGGCCGGCGCTGAAGCCCCAGGGAGCCTGGGGTCGTGGTGGACAGAGGACAAGGGACAGTACCTGCCGACAGGCCGGCCTCCCTCCCGAGGGCCGCGGCCCTCCTCTGGGGCCCACCCGGGCCGCCTGGGGCCTGGGCCATCTCTGGGGCCTGCAGGAGGGGTCGCCGTTCCGTGGGCTCCGGTCGCCACCCGCCGGCCACCTTGGGAACAGCACGTGAGGGCGCCCGACCAGGGGAGCCAGGCCTGTGGGGGAGGGGAGCCACCCCCCAACACACACACCCCGGGAGTCCCTGGGAGGGAGGCAGGAAGCCCCGGGCTGCGGCCTTCCAGCCACCCCAGCGCCAGCCCCCGCTCCCAGCCAGCCGCACGGCCGAGCTCTGCGCCCAGGCAGAGCTGTGACCAGCTCCCTGGGGCTGCCCTCCCTGCACGGCTCCCGCCAAGGCCTTGGCGCGCGCCTGGAAGTGCCCACGCCGCTCGCCGCCCTGCCTGGGACCTCAGCTGGCCTGTGGGGCCCTGGCATGTGCCGGCTGCAGGGCCCACCCCGCCTCCCCTCTGGAGCCCCCTCCCGCCCAAGCTCGCTGCCCCATGCCCTGCACCGCGGGGGCCACCTGCTCTCTGAGCCCAAGACCTGGATCAGCTCCTGGTGCCAGCGGGTGATGGCGCCAGGCCCTGGGGTCAGGCCGGGGCTGTGCCCAATTCACCCCGTGGGCCCATCCGGCCTGGCCCCTGGGCACTCAGCTGTCCCAAGGTGTCAGCCCGAACCTGGCTGCGCCCCAAGCCTGCAGGGAGCACAGACCCGGGTCCTCCCTCTGCTTCACCCTCCCAAGGTGCCTCACCCGCCGTGTCGGCGGCCAAGGCCGGTCAAGCGGTGGGGACCAGTCGGCATAAGCCCTGGCGTCCGTGCATTGTGGGGGTGGAGCACAGACAGTGGGGGGGTTGCCTGCGGAGGTGGCCGGGGCCCACCAATGCACCTGGGGGCCAGCGAGCGCTGAGGGCTGAGGGTAGCCTCGTGTCTGGTCTGGCCGACGCCCGGCGGACCCGGCCGCAGACGGGCCTGGCAGGCACGGCACAGACAGAGCCCGCGTGGCCCCACAGGTCTTCTGAAGGCCATTCCCTCCTGTAGGGCGGCTCAGCCCTCAGCCAGAGTGGCCGGGCAGGGGGTCCCGGGGAGCCCAGGGCGGCAGGGCACAGGGCGCCCGCGGGGCTGAGCGTTGAGGGGCAGGCCCCTCCCTGCGTGGGCCCAGATGCGCGGCACCCGCTGGCCGAACAGCGGTCGGTCGCTGGACGCTCCAGTCCCTGGACGAGCGGCGCCCCCGCCCCCGCCTGTGGCTCCGAGTCCAGGCTCTGCCTGAGACTTGGGCACAAAGCGGCCATGCGGGGTCATGGCGCTGGACCGGCAGGTGGGCTGCTGCCCTGGACGGCTGGACCCCAGAGTCGCCAGGGCTCCAGGCTGATCTGGTGGTTGGTCACAGAGGGGGCGCAGTGGGCAGCGGCTCCGAGTCCCCGCTCTCGGACTCGGGCCAGGACAGGGGCCGGAGCACGCCCCCGGGCCAGGCCTTCCCGGGGCCAGCATGGAGCGGGCTGGGGCGCAAGACAGGGCGGGCCCCCGTCACGGATGCGGAGCAGCGGGGGGGCCGCGAGGCCCAGGGCGGGAGAGAAATGCGGGAGCAGCCGCCGCGGTGACTCCCGGAGCGTGGGGCCAGGGACACAGAGGGGCTCCTGGAGGGTGGCAGCTCCGGCCTGGGGACCCCCCAGGCCCGGCCACATGGAGGGTCCTAGAGGCAGGAGCGGCCCCGCCCTGGAGCAGAGGCCGTCCACCGCCCCCCCCCCCCCCCCCCGCTCACCCCGCATGAGGTGGCTCACGAGAAAGGGGTGGCTGAGTCCCAGCCTGGCGCCCGGGCAGCGGGGCCGCCTGCTCTGAGGGGTTCTGCCGGGGCGGCACAAGCCCCCGCCGCCCTGCGCCCCTTCCCTGACCTCCTGGCTCTTCCCTCCCGTCGCCACGTGAGGCGGGGCAGTGGGGGGCTCCCGCACCCTCCAGCCGCTGTCCCAGGGCTTGGCTCTGGCAGGAGGGGACACTGGAGCCTGGGGGCCAGGGCTGAGCCTTGGGGGCAACGCGCCCGCTGGGGGTGGGAGGGCAGGGCCACAGGGGCAGCTCCGGGGCGCCCCAGCAGGCCCAGGCGCGACCGGCCTGACAGAAGCATTCAAGTGGGAAAAGGGAAAAGCGTGATGCCCCGGCCACCCCCACTCTGAGCGCAGGGGACAGGCCACGGCCACGTCCACACCCAGCTGGGCCAGTGCGGGGGGTGGGGGGGTGGGGGGTAGCGTCCTGCCCTGTGCATGGCCCGCCCGCCGCCCTTGCTCACCCACGCAGGCACACACAGGCACACACAGACTCGAGTGAGACACAAGAAGAATTACATGCGGGCAGCGGGAGAAACGCCCCCCAGGGGCGCTCGGGGGTCACCGCTGAGCTCCTGCCTGCAGGTGAGTGCTGGGCCCGCTTCCTCGGCCTACTTGGCTCCACACAGGCCACCCTGCCCTCAGCCCACGGCCACCCGTGGCCCCCAGGTCTGTTGCTGGCCAGGGTGGCCTCGCCTGCACTGGCCTCTGAGGGAGAGCTGGCCATCGCGGTCCACGACCACTCACCGGGGCTGGGTATCTGCTCTCCACCCCTGACCCCTCCGTCTCCCCTGGCTGTCTCACCCATGTCAGCACTTCCTTTGTGACCTGCACAATCCGCTCCTGGCATCCCCATTGCAGGGGTCAGCCCCCAAGCACCACCGGGCTGTCCTGCCACCTCTCAGTGTGGTGCCAGCTCCCTCCAGTGCCGCAAGACAGCCGGGGGCGCGGGGGGCTCTGGGATAGCCGGACCGTGCTCTGGAAGTGGGCACAGAGGCCGCCCACTAATACTGCCCCTCAGGAAGTATCCACAATAACAGACCATGTGCTTCCCCCTGTGTCTGACACCTTCAGTCACACCTCCTGTCAGTAAAGACCTTTCACTCACGCGCCACACGTGTGGATACTGCCGGCTGCAATCAGTCTCAGGCCGGAAGGCTAACAGGCTGTGGGAGGAGGA